GAGTCGGGATGGGGTTTAGTGTGATAACAGCTAGCAAGTGTGTGGAAAATACCCCCACAAAAAGGCTAAGAGTATGGAAGCCTTTGACATGCTCTGAAGTAAACAATGCAAAAAACAAAACAGCAGGCCCCTAACTATGTATCCTATACTGGTAGTAACTATGTATCCTATACTGGTAGTAACTCCTTGGGTATTCCCAAAGGAAGAAAATGCATTTTAAGAGGAAAAATCAGATAAAAGCTAGTGATCATTAGATTCATTCTTTAAATTTTCTAAAGTGAAAGGAAAGATTATAGATATTCTACATTCTTTTGGTCTCTTAATGGAATAAAGGACTGAGACTTTATAACTCTTTCTTTTTTTTAAGATTATTTATTTGAAAGGCAGAGGTATAGAGAGTCAGAGTCAGAGAGAGAGAGAGAGAGAGAGAGAGAGAGAGAATCTTCGTCCACTGGTTCACACCCCAAAGGACTGCAACGGCCGAAGTTGCGCCAGTCCAGAGCTGGGAGTCAGGAGCTTCCTCGGGGTCTCCCACACTGGTACAGGGGCCCAAGCACTTGGGCCATCTTTTACTGCTGTCCCAGGCCATAGCAGGGAGCTGGATTGGAGGAGGAGCAGCTGGGACTAGAACTGGAGCCCATATGGGATGCTGGCATTTCAGGCCAGGATTTTAACCTGCTGTACCACAGTGCCAGCCCCTGCGTCTTTAAATTTAAAGATCCATTTTATTTATTTGAAAAGCAGAATTAGAGAGGGAAGGAGGGGGAGAGAGAGAGAGAGAGAGAGAGAGAGAGAGAGAGATCTTCGTATGTTGGTTCACTCCCCAGTGGCTACAATGGCTAGGGAAGCTAGGAGCCTGGAACTCTATCCGGGCTCATGTGGGTGACAGTGGCCCAACCACTTGTGCCATCTTCTGCACATAAGCAGAGGGCTGGATCAGAAATAGAGCAGCTGGGACTTGATCCAGTGCTCATACGGGATGGTGGCATCTCAGGCAGCTGTTTAACCTGTTGCACCATGATGTAGGCCCTGGTAACTTTAGTTTAATCCATGATCTGTCTGAAGTGGTTTCTTTCTACTCAGTTTGCTTTTCTTATTTTTATTGAATATGGCATATGTGTAGTGAAATGCATAAATTTGAGTGTACAACTCGGAAATTTTACAAATGTATCCACATCTGTAACCACTGCTCAACACCTTGGAAGCCTCTCTAGCACTCTATTAGGATGCTCAAGGGTAACTGCCATCCTGACTTCCATCAATGTAGATTAGTGTTGTCTGTCTTTGACCTTGATGTGTAGATGAAACCACATAGTACTGTTTTGTATCTGGCTTCTCTGCAATATTGTTATCTGTGAAGTTCATCTATATTGTTAGATGTGGTAGTAGCTAATTTTTCAGTTTTATATATAGTATTCTGTTCTATGACTATGGCAGTATATTCATAGATAATTCTACTGCAGATGGATTAATATTTGGATTGCTTTCATTGTGGTATTCTGTTCGTAAATGAAGTTACATGACTTTGGTTGTCCTGCCTTTAGGTAAACACATCTTCCCATTTCTATTGTGTAGGAGTGGAATTGCCGGGTGGTAGAGTTTGAGATACCGAGCTATAGGAGATACTATCAAATGTTTTTCCAACATGATAGTAATAATTCACACTTCCTCCAGGAGCAATTGAGTGGCATAGTCACCACTTATTCTCACCAACAGTTGCCATTATCAGTGTTAGAATTCTTAGCCATTCTATTGAATGTATGAAAGTATCTCATTATGGTTTTAATTTGCATTTCCCTGATGGCTAGCAATGTTACACACCCCCACCAAGTGTTTTATTGGCACTAATTCCTTGCCAGATTTTTTCTTACTGATTTATAGGAGTTATTCTAGGTAAGTCCTTTTTCATGGATATGTGTTTTATTTATCTTGTACTTTATGATTGCCTTTTCAGTCTCCTATGGAGACTTTTAATGAAAAGAGGTTTTTAATTTTAATGAAGTCAGATTTATTTTTTCCTTTTACCTTTGCCTACCCAAAGACTTGAAGAAGGTCTCTTGTGTTTTCTTCTAGAAGCTCTGCTGTTTTACCTTTCACACTTGTGCCTATGATCCATCTGGAATAGAATTAGATATACATTACAGGGGTAAAGTCCTCCCTCTCCCTAGGGCCGTAGACTGAGAACACTGTGCTTTCCCTGTACTGTGGAGGAACCCTTGTTGTGAATCAGATGAAAGTTTATGGCCAACCCATTCTGGTTCTATTCCAACCTGGCTCATCAGTTTTAATTACCATGGCTTTCAGAGTGTTGATGATCCATTCCCTAACTTTGATCTTCAAAATTGTGATTGCTTTCTTGGCCTTTTTAAATACCCATGACCAACTTGCCCATTTCTGCACACACACACACACACACACACACACACACTCCCTCCTCTAGAGCTTTTGAGGGGATTATTTTTAACCTGTAGGACAGTTTTGGGAGAATGGCTATCTTTCCCTATCATCTGATTTCTTCATCTTCTGTCTCTAGAGGATGTATAGGCTTCTCTTCAGCCGTGTTCAGGACTGAATGAATAAGTCTAGGGATCCAGCGTGAGACATGGTTTCCCATTGTTGTTTCAGTTCCAAATGAAAAGTTAGGTGGCTTATCTCCCATGTACTCCTCTGGACTTTTCTTTTTTCTTTTTCCTTTCTTTCTTTTTTTTTTTTTTTTTTGACAGGCAGAGTGGACAGTGAGAGAGAGAGACAGAGAGAAAGGTCTTCCTTTGCCGTTGGTTCCCCCTCCAATGGCCACCGCGGCCGGCGCGCTGCGGCCGGCGCACCGCACTGATCCGATGGCAGGAGCCAGGAGCCAGGTGCTTTTCCTGGTCTCCCATGGGGTGCAAGGCCCAAGCACCTGGGCCATCCTCCACTGCACTCCCGGGCCACAGCAGAGAGCTGGCCTGGAAGAGGGGCAACCGGGACAGAATCCGGCGCCCCAACCGGGACTAGAACCTGGTGTGCCGGCGCCACTAGGCGGAGGATTAGCCTAGTGAGCCGTGGCGCCGGCCATCCTCTGGACTTTTCTATACTGTCTCTTGATGTCCTGGAGGGTGACCGGCTTGTACTATTGCCATGGGCTCTCTTGCCTCTGGCTTCCAGTTAGGTTCAACCAGTGAGAGAAGGAACACAGTCTGATGGGAGTGAAATCAGGATTTTTTTTCCTGGCTCCCTCCCTTTCTGCAGGTACATTTTGGATTCGTTGTTAACTCCCATTAAAGACTGTTACTATTTCCACCAGCTCTCCTGCTCTGGGCCTCCCTTTAGCCTTTGGGCAGTAATGACTCCCCCACTTCTACCTTGGGGTACCCTTTTATCGCTTTACTATATATTTGTTAAGCTCTCTGCAAATTATACAACTTGAACTGGTCATCTGTGCCTTGCCAGGACCCTGCCTACCACAGAAGTAGAAGACAAAGAATTTTCTGGGCAGCTTTGCAAAGATCTTCAGGAATGAGGATTAGTTATACCAATGATGACCTTGTGAGTCTGCTCACAGAACGTGCCTCTGGCTAATCCTGCCTGAGTGTAGCATAGAAGCTTGAACTTTTTCTTTCTGGTACCATTTGAGGTCACCCAGGGACTCTTTATGATTTAAAATGTAAGATTAAAAGTCCCAAAGTGTGTCTCAGAATGTCCACAAGCATTTTCGCCAGGAGCTGTTTTTCACTTTTTGCCTTACTAAGTTGATAGCGGATGCTGCGCTGTTTGTGTTTGTTTCTGAGAAACATCTGTAGTACCACCTGAGGCTGTTGGAAGGTGAGGCGAGAGTGTCAGACTGGAACAGACTTTAAAGTAGTAATGAAGCTGCTGCAGGTTGAAAAATTAGAGTTGAAGCGCTTCTGGGGACAGCAGCCTCAAGGCGCGGCAAAGGAGAAAGAATTATACTAATTCTTTAGTGGAGTGTCACGTTGAAGTCGTTTAATTTCTCTTTTGACAGTTGGGCTATTTAGTTGTCTGCTTTAGGAATGAATGTTTGTGATGACATCTGTAGTGCTGGTGAGCTCTGCTGAATTTCTCCCAGTAAAGTAGAAATCATGTCCACAATGTCATTTGGTGACAGTAGTAATTTACCTGAATCACATGTCAGGTTGTGCTGGCAAACATGACAGTGTAAGAAGTGTTGGGAGTTTAAAATGAAAAAGTAAACAACAAATGAAATTGGCTTATCACACATGAAGGAACTTCAAAAAGTTTGTGGAAAAGTGGAATTAAAAGATAAGTTTATTTTGGTGTAAAAATTTTTAAATTCTTGCATTTCTATGAACTTTTTTTTTAAGAGTTATTTATTTACTTGAAAGGCAGAGAGAGAGAGAGAGAGAGATCTTTCATGCTCTGGTTCACTCTCCAAATAGCTACAATGATCAGGGCTGTGCCAGGGGCCCGGAGCTTCATGAGGATCTTCTGTGTGGGTGACAGGGGCCCAAGCACTTGGGCCATCTTCTGCTGCTTTCCCAGGCACATTAGAGGGAGCTGGATGGGAAGTGAAGCAACCAGGACATGGGATGCTGGTGTTGTAGGCAGTGACTTAACACAGTGCACCACAATGCCGGGCCCCCATAAATGTTTATTGAATTGAAAGGATACTGTCCTTAGGAAAGTGAATCTGGCAGTGGTATTTAGGCCGCTTAAAAGAGGATGCTATAATCCTAAACCAGGGCTCTAAAGAGAGACTAGGATGGTGGCATGGGGCTAGAGAAAGAGGTGACCCTATGACACAACTAGAAAAAAGGTTCATTGAACGTAGACAGCTGTGGGATGTGAAGGAGAAAAGGAAAGGATGCGTTGTGAGCCTCAAGGAGTAGTGGTACCATTAATCCAGCCAGGAGTGTGGGCAGAGTCACAGGTCCCTCCTCCCTCCCCAGTCCCACCCTTGGTCAGGACAAGAATTGAGGCTTATTTATGCTGACCCAGCAAACGCTGATAGCTGCACTCAGAGTCTGTGTTTTTAATCCCAGAGCTAAGACCATCAAGAACACAGTCTCTGTGAACCTGGAACTGACGGCGGAAGAATGGAAGAAGAAGTATGAGAAAGAGAAAGAGAAAAACAAGACTTTGAAGAACGTGATCCAGCATCTGGAGATGGAGCTCAACAGGTGGAGGAATGGTAAGCAGAATGGAGAGGCCACTCACGGCCACAAGGTGTGCTTTCTCTCTCCTGTGGCCGCTGGCTGATCCTTGGAAAATAGGGGGTGTTGGTGGAGCTTGGTTCTGCCTCACAGCAACCTATGTAAACAGGGGATGCTTTCTTGTTCTCTAGTGCAGTGCGTTGTAGTGCAGTGCGTTGTCTGGCAACATTGTTGGTGAGGGTGGGCAAGTGGCTATTTGCAAGGTTGCTCTAAACTCTTTCCAATGGAGCTGTCCCCTGTCCGTTACTGTCATTCATTCTCTGGTAGCCCTCTCTGAGGTTTAGAGGGTGATGGCTCAGGTTGCTTTTGATGGAATGAAAAATGTCATTCTCTCTTAGGTGAGTTTTATTACTGATTTGGGGTTAAAGGTCACATCTGCAAATACTTGCACTTATTTATTTATTTATTTTTTTACCCAGCTCATCACCAGACCCTGCTTCTTCTGAGCAGAAATAGAGGGCTCCTAAAAGAAGCCCAGTGCTAAAATGGAGTCTTAAAGGCTCGTTTCGTGACTAGTTTTCCTCTTTCCCCAAAATATTCTCTTTAGTTTGTTCTACAGGGAGAAAATATCTCAGAGAACTGACGTACAGTGGGTGGGTGGATTGTGGGTGAGGCGCAAAGAGGGGTTTCCAGCCCCAAGCAGAGGCTGATTATTCTGGTGATTTTAGCACTGGGCTGGAGGTGGGGAGGTAGAAGTCGTGTTTTTACGCATGTGCAGCTGACACACGACAGTTGGGGTGTGTGTGGGGGGCTGGTGGATAGTTGGCACTTGTGCTGCCTGCTCAGTGTTCCTTTAGGGTGCAGGGGCAGGCCTCAGCTCTGGGTGGGAGCAGGGCTGCTGGCAGGATCAGGAGGGCTCCTGCCCGTGTGTAACTGCAGAGTGAGCAGCAGGTTGTCTAGTGATGATATGTTTGCCACTAACGTTCACTAGAAGGGGTAGGGTGCCAATGAGCTACTGTTTAATTGAAAAACAATTAGTGGCAAATGAGAATTCAAGAGAGGATCACCACCAAATGACCCAGTAGCCTAAATAACAGGATTCTTTTCATTCTGGAAAAATTTCTGGCTGCACACATGTTTTGAAAGCTGCTAGAATAATTGAATAACTCAGCACCTAGGGCTGGTGGATGATGCCTTGCACTTTGGCAAGAGAGGGGGAGCGTCCAGGGGTAGAAGACAAGGTGTGGAGTGGCCGTGTGAAGTTTTGTTCTCTTTCTGGCATTTCTGCTGTGTCACTGAGGCATTTGGTGAAGCCTTCTGGTGAAGGGATGTGGGACTGGCCTTAGAAACACTGCAGAGTGGGCAGTGAGCCTTGTTATTTTGCATTTGTCCTGTCTCTTACCAAGCTCTAACCCTCCAACCATCCATCCCCCTGCAGATGCTGCCCTGTGGGATCCATCTTTGGCCTTGTTTGCCCAACCTTGCCTTGTGCCTAGCCTCTTTTTTAGGGTACTCTGCCCTGCTCTTGGCTGTTTGTCCCATTTCACCCCCTTGGAAATCTACTCCGAAACTGTTTCTGTACCCTCTTGCATGAACTCCTACAAAAGCACTCCAGTTCCATAATTTGGGAGAAGCAAAGCATGGTTTCTGACACCCAAGAGACTTGCAGTAAGTGTAGTTAGTAATGCTGGTGCTGGAGATGAAAGGGTGGGCAGGAAGACAGGGTCTCTGCTCTCAGGCACCTTATGCTCTGAGTGTGAAGGTGGGATCTGGGCACCATCAGAACAGGGCTGGTGATAGACTGTGCTGCACACCAAGAAGGGTGTAAGGCCCCTATGGCCACCACAGCAGGGATCCCGACAGTGACTGAGTAGCTGGTGAAGAAGATCTGAGAGAATCAGCAGCTAGCCAGGTGAAAAGGGGGCGTGAATAGAGGTGAGGGTTGCAGCTGGAGGGAATGGTAGGTGTGATGGCCCTGGAAGGCCAGTGTGGAGGACTGGGATGGGGAGCACTGGCCTGGATGAGCTGGAGAGGTAGGTGTGGTGGTCCCGGACAGGGCTGCACAGTCCTTGTCCAGGATTTTGGTTGTTATCATGGAGGCAATGGGAGGCTCTTTATGTTAGAGTTCTCCAGCGAGACAGAAACAAGGGGATATGTGAGAGGAGAATTATTAGGGCAACTGGTTCATGCAATTATGGAGGCTAAGGAGTCCCACGATATGAGACCTGAGATATCAGTGATATGGCTCAGTCTAAATCTGAAGGCCTCAGAACCAGGGAAACTGGTAACATGAGTCTCAATGTGAGGCCCAAGACTGAGAGCCTGGGTGCTGCTGCTGTAGATCTTGGAGTCCAAAGGCTGAGGAGCCTGGATTTCTGGTGTCCAGGGGCAGGAGTGGGGAGAGTGTCTCAGCTCTCAGTAGAGAGACCAATTTGCCCTCCATGTTTGTTCTTTCTCTGCCCCTGCCCTTTGGATGGTGCCGCCCACATGGGGAGTGAATCTTCCCTGCTAAGTCCATCGACTCATGTGTCAGTCTCCTCTGCAAACACCCCATTCTGGCTATTCCTCAGGCCAGTCACCTTGAGAGTTAAAATTAATCATGGTACCATTCAAGGGAATTAAGCTGCAGATTGCACAAATGAGAATTGACACTTTTCAGGTTGTGTTGGAGACTAAACTGAAGAGGGCTGAAGAGGGCTAGGACTGGGACAGTCTCCCAGGTGTGAAATGATGGCAGTTGAATTGAGAGATACAGTTGTGGAAGAGAGAGAAATGGATAGGGCCAGGGGGCATTTAGGAGGCGACATTAATAGGGTTCACTGGGGACTTGGTTATGGGCAAAAGTAGGTGTCAAGGTTGGCTCCAAGTTTTCTGAGTTGCTGAGCTGGCTGGAGGGATGGACAGCCCCTGAGACGGAAGTGCTGACCAAGAACTAGGGAGATGAGGAGGGGAGATTGGGGTACCCGTGGAGTGTCTAGGGGAAGGTTTCACAGGAGTTACTTCTGGGGTTGGAGCTTAGAGGAGCAGCCTGAGCCAGAGAGGGGGATTTGAGGGCCCTCAATGCTTAGGTGGTGCTTGGGGGTGTAGGTAGGGGTGAGGTCCCCTACAGACTTTGGAGAGGGGGAGAGGAAGGAAGACAAGAGAGTGAGGAGGATGGGAGGGCAGGGGTTCTGCAGAGCTCTCTGTCCCCCCAAGGTGACATTTGTGGGTTAAAGCTGACTTTTCTGGAGGCAGAGTTGTTAAATGTAGAAAACTGACTCGAGTGATAGAAATTTCAGGTGGGAGGAGAGTGGGAAGGAGATGTGGGGAGTGCAGAGCTGTCTCAAGGATTAACCAACCATACATCACACAACATGCCAGTGTATGTCCCATCTACAGAAAACTGAGCCAGGCTTCCCGTTAGATTCCCAAGTTGGATGTTTTATCCTCAAGTAGCCCTTGAGGTGACCACAGGTTAGAAGAGTCAGTCCCCCAAGGGGACTGGTCACTGGGAGAGTTGGGATCTGAACCGAGGGACTGGCTGACAAGGAGCTGGCACTAGTGATTTGTACTCTGGCAAGTTAGACGGGTGTGGAAGGTACTTCCCAAAGGAGGAAGGGACTGGAAGCCCTCTGGTGGCATCCCTGAGTGTGAGTCCTAATTCCTCCTGAGGGCTTGGCTGGCGGGCATAACTCAGAGAGCTGGGATTTGAGAAGGGGCGTAGGGAAGAGGCGGTGCCCGCCATGAAAATCAGAGTGGCAGGATGTTGCCACTTTCTTCTGAAGTTAGACGCACACACACACATAGGTTCTAATCTTGTAGGAAGCAGCTACTTAAATCCCCTCAACATTGCCCGTTACTGATGTTTGCACGCTGTGGTCTGAGTGCACACTCCCTGGGAATGAGTTCTGCCTTGCACTGTGTGTTTATAATGTTAAGCATTTGGCTCCTATACTCCAGCTGTAAGAGGAAGGTATGTAGTAGAGAAGTGTGTGTGTGTGTGTGTGTGTGTGTGTGTGTTTGCTGTTATATAGAATCAGACAGTAATGCAAAGGATTAGGAAGTCAACTGCAAGTGAGGTGCAGCCACATAACACAGGTAAGTGAAGGGAGACAGGGCTGATCCAATTGGCAGTGATGGAACTGTGCCCCAGGAGGGGGCATGACTGCCCTAAATCATTCAGAAGTTATGAAATATTGTTTGCCACGTGCCTAGAGGCTTGTCCCACCCCTCCCCACCACCAACACACCCCTCCCTCCCTATCCACCTGCACGGATTTTAACCCCTCATAGAATGAATGTTTTAGTCCTCTCTGAATTCTTATGCTGAAATCATCACCCCAGCGTGATGGTGTTAGGAGGGGAAGCCTTTGGAATGTGGTTAGGTCCTGAGCATGGAGCCCCATGAGAGTTTGCTTTTGTCTGCTGTCTGCCCTGTGAGGATGCAGTGAGAGGATGCTCTCTGCAGAGCTGGAAGAGAGTCCTCACGGGAACCTGGCCATGCTGGCATCCTGATCTGCAACTTTCCAGTCTCTGGAGCTGTTAGAAATAAGGATCTGTGGTTCAGCAGCTCCCAGTATGCAGCCCAGACTGACTAAACAGCAGAGTACTTTACAATACAGGCCAGACAGTTTTCTGTTCTGGACACAGTGGAGCCTTCATTCATTTCTGACATCACCACTGGGGCAGGATAGCTCTGGGCATATGCATGGTGTCTGAAGGAGAGGGCACACCTTATTTTTCTGAGGGAAAGAGCTAGAAGAGCCACTTACTCGTGTGGTTCAATTTCCCAGTGTGCAGTGGGTTGCAAGTGACAGGAGTTGGCCCCACCCAGCTGAAACAAAAAGGAGATACATTTGCGGAATCCAAAGACCAGCCAAGGAACCAAGTTCCAACAGCAGTAGCTGGGCCTGCCCCAGGGTGGATGCGCGCAATGGAGACAAAGCAGCAGGTCTCCCGGGGGCCACACCTGGCAGAACTCATCCCCAGCTGGTGTTCCCATCCCTGCAAGATTCTATTGGAGATTCAGAGGCTCAGATAGAAGTGGGGACACTGTGCCT